AGAATGGTGTGAAAAGGGAATAACATCCAGTATGCGGCAGTCCTGTGGGCGATAATGCCTTGTTGATGCAAGAGGAATAACCACTCGTTACAACCGAGGTATGCAGCAAAGCATTTGTGAAGCCACAACATCCACAACCTTGAGGCAGATGGGCTACAACAGCAGAAGACCCCACAGGGTACCACCCATCTCCACTACAAATAGGAAAAAGAGGCAACAATTTACGATGTTTTCTTGGCACAATTTAGGCCCCTTAGTGCCAATGGTCATTGTTCAAATGCCTCAGCCTACCTGAGCATTGTAGGTCCACCTAGAATTTAATCCACATAGAATTAAGGCAGTTCTGAAGGTGAAAGAGGGTCAAACACAGTATGGTGTCCCTAATAATCCTTTAGGTGAGTATATAGTGCACTGATCAGGTCTGGTGTGTAAGAATAGGTTTAATCTTGATCTGGAGCCTGTCATATCCAGTGTATATCTGGTTTGTTTTGTCACTAAATCTTTCTCTCCGTCAGGTAATATCAGCTTTTGTCTGGTATTCAAAGACAACCAAGTTTGTCATGTTAACTCTTCTACCAGCCGAGAGGCAAATGCATGGGATGAGCAGAAGACAGCAGAAAAAGTGATAAGTAACAACCAGAGTTCATAGAATATATGTATGTCAGCGGCCTCAAATAAAATTTATATTTAAAAAAAAAAACATTTGTTGCCGACTACGCCACCTAGAGTTAAAACTGAGACCCCAGAAACTCACTATGAAAACAGGTTCTTCATCAGGGGAGGGAACAGTGTAAAACAACACTCAAAATAGTGGTAGAAAATTATTGTGTCTGATGAAGGGCTTGTGGCCCGAAACGTTACATGTACACGTGGTGAGCAACCATTAAATTTTTGTAGGAGCATCTTCTGGTGTGCGGACTTATTGTTTACTTTTGTTGCTACTTTACTGTCCAGCACCCAGTTTTATTGTTTTGGATGTGCGTGCTACACCTTTTGAACTCAGAAAATTATTTTATTACAATAAAATTGTTGGAGGAAAAGATGAAAAAAAAAAAAAAGTCCAAAGTCCAAAAATCCTGCTCAGGGGACAGTCAAAGTTCAACTCAGTCACTGCTTGGCATCTGTATTACAGCTGACATCCAGTTACACTCAGTCCCACATAGAGGCCAATATCAGCACGATACTGGGACACAGAAAAAAAAAACAAATGCCAGCATACAATGTCTAAACTCACATCATATCCACTTTATATCCAGACAGTTCAAAAGTTCATTAAATCAAACGAGAACCTCCTTTAAAAATGTCGGCGATTCAAGGTCACTCATCAAGTAAAATGATGCAAAGCAGGCTCATTCTCTTCCGTCACAGGGCAATAAATTGGATTTAATCGGCACACCGCTAGATGAAAGTCAAAACATACTCACAGCATGACTGTCCAATATTTTCATGGCAGAAGAACCACGTTTTCACTCGATTTTCACTTTCACACAAACCAGATTTTCACTCGTCTCCTCAGCACTCACGGTAGTCTCTCACAGCCGGTCATCAACCCATCTCACACACTGCTACTCCAACAGGGCTCCGTGAATCAATGACTCTGTGTTTACCTGTCTACAGTGCGCTGCAGTCTCTCATAGCCATTATCAATCTCACCGCAACTTAAATTCTCACATCCCAATACAGGCACAAATTCGCAAACGTGTTTCCTCCCGCTCTCGCTGTGTTGACTTTGGTTGCAAATGCACAGTGCTGCCGTCACGTGTCCCAGTCACAATTGTTGCACTTTTATAGGGGAACATTCACCACTCTACCCCAAAGCCCATCACTTATTGGCTTGGAAATACTGCTTGCAAAGAAAAAAACACAGCAAATCAACACCAAAACAGTGTGTCAAACAACCTCAGTCAGTGCTCAACTGCCTCAAGTCTTTTCAAGGCAGGTCAGCGGTCACACTGAAACAGTTTCAGAGGATCTTTTTGCTGCGTTGGTTCCCCAACATGAGGTTAACCTTGTGAGTTCCTCCATCACCCCTCTGGGTCCAGGCAAGGCCAGTCCCTACGGTGACCCATTTTTTCCACGTTTCAGCTCCCCTCTGGGTTAGCTACATTTCTTCCCTCAACAGACCTGTTCTGTCGTCCCTGCTGAGCACGCTCCCACCCCTCGGGCTGGGACTACATCAGGAACTGGCATATGTTTTACTACCCCACAGGTTAGTACATACTGTATGTGTATTCCAGTGCCTCCCTTCGGGCAGGCAGGGGCTCCGCAGCATTACCTCCAATGGGTTGGGCACACATCCCCAGTTTCATCCAAATCCAATGAGCAGGTCTTGCGGAACAGCGATGGGATTCTTCCTAGCTAGCTCCTGTCGTAAAGAAAACTAAGAAACTGCTTAGGTGGGAAACTAAGCTGGGCACTGGAAGGGGCCAGCACCATGGCGTTTTATTATAAAGACACCTGTCCGCATACTCAATCAAACAGACTCCAACCTCTCTACAATGGCCAAGACCAGAGAGCTATGTAAGGACATCAGAGATAAAATTGTTGACCTACATGAGGCTGGGATGGACTACAGGACAATAGGCAAGCAGCTTGGTGTGAAGGCATCAACAGTTGGCACAATCATTAGAAAATGGAAGAAATTCAAGATGACGGTCAATCTCCCATGGTCTGGGGCTCCATGCAAGATCTCACCTCGTGGGGCATCAATGATCATGAGGAAGGTGAGGGATCAGCCCAGAACTGCACGGCAGGACCTGGCCAATGACCTGAAGAGAGCTGGGACCACAGTCTCAAAGAAAACCATTAGTAACATACAACGCTGTCATTGATTACAATCCTGCAATGCATGCAAGATCCCCCTGCTCAGGCCAGCGCATATCCATGCCCGTCTAAAGTTTGCCAATGACCATCTGGATGATCCAGAGGAGGAATGGAAGAAGGTCATATGGTCTGATGAAAAAAAAAATAGAGCTTTTTGGTCTAAACTCCACGCGTTCTGTTTGGAGGAAGAAGAAGGATGCGTACAACCCCAAGAACACCATTCCAACCGTGAAGCATGAGGTGGAAACATCATTCTTTGGGGATTCTTTTCTGCAAAGGAGACAGGACAACTGCACCGTATTGAGGGGAGGATGGATAGGGCCATATATCGCGATATCTTGGCCAACAATCTCCTTACCTCAGTAAGATCATTGAAGATGGGTCGTTGCTGGGTCTTCCATCATGACAACGACCCCAAACACACAGCCAGGGCAAATAAGGAGGGGCTCCGTAAGAAGCGTAGAATACTGTCTAACACTTGATGGCTGCTCTGTTAAGTCTTCGACGTCAGTTAGGAACCTGGGTGTGCTCTTTGATACCTATCTCTAATTTGAAAGTCATGTGTCTAGTATTTGTAAAGCCGCATTTTTCCATCTAAAAAATATATCTAAATTACGCCATATGCTCTCATTGACATATGCGGAACAATTAGTTCATGAGTTCATGACATCAAGGCTAGATTATTGTAATGCTCTACTGGGTGGTTGACCTGCACGCTTAATAAACTAACTTTAGCTAGTTCAAAACGCAGCAGCTCGAGTTCTTACCAGAACCAGGAAGTATGACCATATTAGCCCGGTTCTGTCGACCCCAGCTCTTAACATTATAGTCCTTCATGTCTATTGCGATCTCAAAATGCCGGCCAGTTGATAATACCTAGAATATCAAAATTGACTGCTGGTGGTAGATCCTTTTCCTTTTTAGCACCAAAACTCTGGAACAATGTTCCTAACGTTGTCCGGGAAGCACAGGACGTCGTACTATAATAACACCAACTGCAGCGTGTTGGTGTTATTGTTTTAGTTTAAGTCTAGTTGTTGTCGACGAAAAACATTAAGATTTTAGTAGACTAAATCTATAGATTTTCCTGAAGTATAACACAGTCTTCTTTTCAATTAATTATATATGGATTCTTTACTTGCATACATCATTCTTTATTCTATCAAGCAGCAGACATATTTATTTATATGAAAATATAATGAATTATAAGCTATTAACGAGCAGTAAATTCTTTTCTCTTTTTCTTTTGTTGCTAACTGGATCGCTTCCCAAATCGTCACTATCTAACACTATTGTCTAGTTTTTATTAGTTGGCGAAAAAGTCAATAGATTTTCGTCATAGTTTTTGTCATTCAAAACTAGTTTTTATTTGGTTAACGTCTCGTTTTCATCTTTTAAAAAATGTGGTTGATGAAAATAATGATGAAAATTATTTGTTTGCAAAATTAACACGGTTTGGAATCAAATCTAGCGGTCAAAATGACCGCTGATGGCAGTTCTAATAGTTTTGGAATTCTGGCACTTCTAGTGTTAAAAGTATGAGGATGGGTAGATGGCGACAATTGCATGCAGCTCGACTAAACAGATTTTGATGTGGATGCATGATTTCTGCCAAAATATTTTTTGAACCTCACACAATCATTTTAATCATTTAATTAAAAATAAATGTTTTTCGAAGTCAACAAATTATTTTAAACAATTTAAACATTAAAAGGAGAGCTCTTTTTTTTAAAATTCAGCTAGCATACCGCAATTGTGAATATACAAATGTAGAGACACTTTCTACTTTCCTTTTTCTAGAAAGCTTTTGTCTTCAAGTGAGGCATAAACGACAGTCCAATGTGTCTGTGGCACAAGGCAGTAATGATTGCATGAAATTACAGAGGCTTCAGCAGGCCTTCCCCTCCCTCTCTCTCAGGTAGCTGGATCAGCTCTCACCCCTGCCTTCCTTTCTCTCTCTATCTCTCTCTCTCTCTTCTTGCCTCTCACAGCTATTCAAAGGGAATGTATAACTGAATATGAGATGGAGCGGGCGTTTTTCAAGGGCCAGAGCTAATGAGACGTTTTACCTTGAAATCAGAGCAAGACAGGAGGAGACCCTGTTGAGCTGAGCTTGCAAAGGGGATCGCAATTGGGTCTGGATCCTTCAGTGAGTGAGAGAGAGAGAGAGAGGGTGTGATCCATTCCCGACAGGAATAATGCTCTCAAACCAGAGTGGATTATGACAGAAGGACATTTTCAAGCAACAAAGTGACCTCACAAAAGACGCTGGCTTGTTCCACGCTAATGTTGACCCGCTTTCTTTTGTTGCTTTTGTCCTGGGCGACACCTGTACGTCAAAGTTAAATCTGTAAGGCTTGGCTTTCAGGTGAAAGCAACAATTACTCTCACTTGAAAAGGCACGAACTGGAACGTGGTTGGATGGAGGTGATGAGAAGGAAGCGAACAGGTACTCTTGACAGTTAGCAGTGCCAGCATGGATCAGAGAGCCGTGTTATATGGGGCCAGGGATAAAAGGGGACAGGAGATTTGTGTTCTGAGGGGGACTCTTTTTAATCAGGGGCCCAACGAGATTGTTGCAGAGCAGGCCTAACCAGTGTCATGCTAATAAAAGAGAATAAAAGTGTGAATGGAGGGAGCAGCTAGTTATCTACACTCTAATTAACGTGGTACCGGGAGCAAGATGCTTATTTGCGTAGCATTGAGAGGAAGGGAGGCGGGCACGCTGAAGTGTGGGGGAAGGGTAAAGAGGAGCAGCCTAAGGCCGTCCATCTTTTGTGCAATTGTATATGAGCGAACAAAGCCGTACATCCAATCTACATTCCGCGCATGCTAATCACCGCATTTGATAATGAAAGTCATTTTGGGCCATGGCATATTTTTGTTTGAAAGATGATGGGGAAGGTTATTTATTTTTCTTAAAATAGCATGGCTAGTAATGGTGATAATTAGCAGCAGCTATGCTTCTATGGGGATATTATATCTTTATATTCAGGGACAAAACATGCATTTTTATCATTTAAATAATGGTACAGCTCACCAAGATCTCAATCATAGAAAAAAGGACTAAAAAACACATCAGCACTCATACACCCAAAAATTGCCTCGGCCCTTTTCAACAGTTTTGTAAGGAGCTCGACCCCGTGACCTTCGGTGTCTGCCGTAGTCCTCATCCCCGCTTTCCCACAGACAGTCCTGCAAAGTGCAAACGAACCCATGTCAAGAGGCTCAGCATATGGCCCTGGGCCGTGACTATTGTCTGGAGTGGCGGGGCAGGATGGGCCGCCATTATTGTCACCATTGTAAGATAGGCGGTGTGTCTGGAGAAGCAGACACACGGCAGTGTGAACTGATCCCAGCAACTATCTCTGTGCCCTTTCCCACCAATCCACACTCACATATCAGACATCGGCTTCACAAATGCTTCCTTGCCTGGTCATTGTTAATGTCCCGAATTTTGGGGCAGAACTCCTAAAATCATTATGTTAACAGAGACCCTGATGAGTACTTAAATTTGCATGCTTTGAAGCAGAACCTGATTTCACCAATTACAACATCTTAGATGATCAAGGAACAACATTCTAATCAGCCAATCAGGGACATGTTTACAGATTATGTCAAGTTTAGAACCAGGCTTTCAACCACGGTTAGGCAGTTCTGTTATTCACCTGTAATTTCCCTCTGATTTAAGGGATAACTTACCTGTATGGGTAGGGTTAGATTTAGGAGCAGGGATATGGCTTGGAAAAAAAAATGTAGTCCTAACTATATTAATAAACTATGTTGATCCAGGAACGCCTCTAAATCTGCAATAACAGGACGTGCTGCTTTTTTGAGGTTTGTTAAATTGAGGTTTGTTAAAAGTCTCTGTCAAGTGTGATGTATCCGAAATCGCCAAGCATATCACATCAGAGTGAGTAGTTTATATGGTTTGCTGTCCACACAGACTGTTTAAACTAACTATATGTCAATTTATTTCATGAATATGATTGAATAATAAAAATATTTGTTTAGTGGCACTGCAGAACAGATATTATCCACAGTTCTTGTACCATCTGCTTGTGCCATCCTATAAACTACCTAAAACTACTCTGTGTTGTTTTCCTAAACTCTAAACTGACAGAAAAATAAATGAATCGCACACCACCGGCAGATGATGAGGTATCTAAAGCATTTGGTTAAAACGAGTTTCTGTCATTCCTGGAGCTTGATCTAAAATTCATTTTTAAGAGACATGAAGGTGCCGATGGCAGAACATATTCTTGTTTGATTTGTTGAAACTGACACTCACTATAATTTTGATATAAAAGACATTACAATTACGAAATCTATTTATTTTCCATACTGAAATCGTTTCCAGCGGCACTCCCGTATCCCCCTCAATGGCAAAGCTTTGTGGGATCATTTGGATGTACAGATACATTTTCACAGAGTCACAGAGTACTTGAATGTTAGTTAATGGATTCACTACCGTTAATTAACGGGACCTTATATTCAATATATTCTTAAATCAATAATATTTGATTTTCCTCTGTCCTTTGTTTTTCAAGCTTAACCAGTGTCATAGATCACTGCACCCTATGTACGCCTTATTTAATATTCTCATTGGGACACAGAAAAAAATTCTGCATTTAGAAAGAAAGCCTCTCCTTGCACATACAATCTTAATTAAATTGTTGCTAGGTAACAGAGGTAATCTGTTGGTAAATGGGCAGGGTTTCGCAAAGTGAGCAGAGGCCGTTTACACAATGGAGACACATCACCTCTCTGCTGCACTTGAAATATGTCCATTGCAAACTTGCAGACTATCTCTTATTTCTCTTGTCTTTCAGGCCAGCAAACAGAGGACACAATATGAGTTTCACAGCTCCAGTGGTGACTTATGGGGAGTCAGCTTATGGCCTTCTGGGATACTATAGGCGGAACATGCCTCCAGCCACTGCCCGGCAACAATTCCCCAATGACAAATACTTACTGTATAGGATCATCACTATGGCCACACATATACCAACACCAGCTGAGCACATGAGAAGGGCAGGAAAAATGTCAAGTCTGTGATTGTGGTGATAAATCTCATGTCTGAAGCAACTTCTCGAAGCAAGAAAAAAGTAAAGTTTCTCTTTTTCCGCATCGAGACATTGTACTGATAACACATGCAACTAAGAATATCCGCACACATTATTTTGCTCTCATTAACCTCTTTAATTTACAGTCACTCATTGCATTGGTGTAACCGAAATAATCCCTGCTAATCCTCTGCTAATTATCATTTCCTTTTTATTACTCGGTTTCTGTTCCAGCAGAAGAAAAATAAATAGAGTATCTTCAGCGATAGTGCTGGTATGCTGGAACCTAAATACTGGTGTCCCTCGGGGGCTTCGGTTGACTGGGTGCTGACCTTTGCTGCCCTCGGACCACTAGCCACATTCAAACAAGAGGCACAAGGGACACATCAAGGACAACTATGGGCTAAAGAGGATTATCGATCGGGTCACTTGACCGAAACTTTGTAAAAATACTGTTTTTTTTTTTGTTGTTGTTGTTGTTTTTTTTGCATGCAATAAAGTGTGATTTTTTTTGTTTTAAAAAATAGATTTTTCTTTAAATAGATCAACAGACAAAATGTTTACTATTGTACTATTTTACATAAAACAGAATGTTTGCTTTTTTATATAGATTTCTCATGAATGCAATATTAAAGTGACTGATGTTTTCATTATTATTGTATATTGCAACAAAATACACTTAAATTATTCTTTGACTTTTATGAATTTGTAGGGAAAATCAATATTGCACACTTTTAATTAAAAATGTATAATCTTTAAAAATACCTTGGTTATCTCTTGGATTGTTTTGTTCAGTCCAGCAGCTCTTTTCTTTGTACTCCCATTTTCATTCACTTTTGATGTGCATAACTTCAAGACAGAATTAACCACTTTTAACGAGGTGTAATAAACAAAAACTGAAAATGAATGACAATGCATACAATAAAAATAAAGCCTCTCTAGAGATCTCATTCATGTTAAGCCTGTCAGTACATGATGCTTTCACAAGGGGGCAGTCACTTCTGTTCAAATCCCCTCTTGTGAGCGCTTCTGAGTTCAAATCATTATGCTGTGCATTTATGATTGCATTGCACTATACAAACACCGTCCAAATTCAAATACTCCAGTAGCTAGACTATATAAATAACAACACATATGATAGATCATGTGGTAGCTCACATTCCCCTCGTCCCTCTTCTTAAAACATGTAACCTAAAGCAATGCATAAATATGTCTATTCTGCAATGACGTGTTCACGCATGTGAATTTACTGGTCCGGTGTATTTGTATTACGGGAAATCAATCAGTCTTTGAAAATAGCTCTATATAAATAACAACAAGTATTATTATGTGGTAGGCTATATCTCTCCTTCAATGCACAGGACGTTCTTCAACTAACGTTCACGCTTGTGAACTTAGTGTTTCAGTGTGTTTGCATTATGGGAAAATCAAGTAGTCTTTGAAAACAGCTCTCTGTGGAAAACCAAAGAGCCCAGAGTTCGTTATCTTTCTCAAGCGTCCTTTCTTTCAGTCTATTCATTTATGGACAAAAAGAACAAGGTTAGGGTCACCCATTATTACAAGTTCTCATTATTTATTTTTCTGCACTCAACTAAGCTAACGCAATAATGAAAAACTCATTATTTATCACAGACAGTGGATCGGTCATTAAAAAGATATACCTTCGAGAAGATTCGATCGTTCGGGCACTGGGAACGAAGACCCTCATAAGCACTGTTTGGTGGGCCTCATAATGGTTTGTGTGAATGGAGTCTTTTTACGAAAGAAAAGAGCCTCTTCGGCTGTTTGTTTTGGAATTTGTCTCATTGATCCAAAAGCGGCAACTAAAAGAGGAGGCCAGTATGACAATAGCACTCAGGACAACATTGCTCCAGCGTCACTTGAAGTAGCAACATTCATTTTATTCACTGTAACTCGAAATTTAGACGATTAACAAGACTAATTGTGTATTTTATTTTTTGTAATTTCCATTATATATATATATATATATATATATATACACACACACACACACACATATATATATATATATATATATATATATATATATATATATATGTGTGTGTGTGTGTATATATGTGTGTGTGTGTGTGTGTGTGTGTGTGTGTGTGTGTGTATATATATATATATATATCACACACACACACATACATACATATATATATATATATATATATATATATATATATATACATACATATACACACATACACACACACACACACACACACACACACACACACACACACACACACACACATATATATATATATATATATATATATATATATGGGGAAACCCCTCCAAAACTACTGTAACTACAGTACAGTAACTATCATACGTCAACAAAATACTGAGGACAATTATTGTGTAAAAATCTAGACAGAACAAAAAAAAAAAAAAAAAAAAAAAAAAGAGGAAGGTCATATTTTCTTGACAATCATTTATTAAACAAAGTGAAAAGAAATAAATAAAGATAAGTACTTAAAATGCATTAAAGACCAACAGAGCCATTTAAGCTCAATGTTTTTTTTTTTTTTTTAGAATAGATCCCAGCTACCTCCCTATACTGGAATACAGGGGGGGAAAGTGAATTGTCTTCTCCATTTCATATGGATCAGTTCTAAACCTCATATACTGTTATTTGGCATTAGGGTTAGAAATGTTTAAAGACATGCTTAATTAAAACATCTTAAAAAGAGAAGGGGGGGGGGGGGGTACGTTTTTAGTAACATTTTTAATACATTTTGGTCACTTGTTTTAACTTGTAATGGTGGGGGGAAAGGGGGAGAAACCCCTGCAAGTGAGGATAAGACTAAAATGGCCCCACTTGATTATCAAAGGTTGTGAATGTCTAAATAAACCCCCCATTGCATCCATCAATCTTCACAGATAATCAACAACAGGAGACAACAAAACAAAAACAGAAATCAACATTTGATCATGTTAAATCAAGTGTGCGGTTGATGATAACGGACACACCTTTGCAATATAAATACCCCCATGGAAGCCCACAACATACGAAATTTATATTTTTGAATTTAACTGAAATTAGTTAAAAGCCAAGATTACGTCATATTTGACAGTTTATTAGGGGCCCGAGGGTAGATTTGTTCAAATAAAATTCATAACTACAATCAAAAATCAGGAAGGATTAATACATTCATTGTCTGCGTACCCTCCAAAAACTCATAAATGGAGGATGAGAGTAAGACTTTAAAGTAGGTTAACACTAAAAAAAGACTAACAAACAAAAAAAACTAAAAATGCATTTAAAAAACACTTTAGTCTCTGTGCGGTTTTAGTAACTGTAGTGCCAAAATGTCACAAAATTAAAAAAGACATTAAACCCCATGTTTCTTTGTGATCAAGCCACATGTTCTGCCTCTGCATGTGTGCTTTCTGATTTCCAGCAGGAATTACTCTACACACTCATGAGGGAATACAAGCATACTTGGCACCTTCACATGAAAGAAATCCTGTTATCCTGTTATTTGATGCATTACAGAAAATCAATAGGCTCCATACAGAAACATGGAGCACGCTTACAGGATGTGCTTGATGTCACTGGACCCGAAATTCAAAGTGAAACATCTGACAGGTTAAATGACGGGGAAGGGTATCAGAAGAGCGGAGGCCACTGCTTTAGACATTTTTTTTTTTTTTTTTTGTTAGCTTTTATACATGATCAAAATGCCCTTTTTAGATTTAGCCACCAGCAGCAGGGTTCACTGGGAGCCTGCAGGCACTGATGTTAACACACGAACCGCCACTCTCACACACACATGCACACTTAAATTATCTCTCAGTCTCCTACAGTCAAACAAAACTCTCCTCATGAGAAGGCTGGCTTCAGTCCATTTGAAATAAATACACCTTTAATACATACTTTTCTTCTTGATCAATCCTCTCACTATACTCTCCAAGCTCAACTAAATCACTGTTTCCTCTTCATGTATCAGCAATGACAACTTCCCCTACAGCAGAACCCAGTTTCTACTTTGGAGGAATAAAACATAAAAAAAAAACATTAAAAATCACTGTTCTTATGAAATTCATCTATCATAATGTTCAACTAAATAATAAAAAGTCAAAGACTGAGTGATCCCTTGCTTTCAACCTTATGGTGGCTCAAAGATGGCACAGAGTTGCAGCCCCTTCAAAATCAGCATAATTTTGAGGTCTCCTTTCAGATGCCATCCTCCAGTCGATGAATATAACAGTGACTGCATTATTACTATTGTAATTTCTTTTTGAATTTGTTAGGCTAAAACAATGTGTCCATGGAGGAAGCACATCAGAGAAGAACCCGGCTGATATGGTTGCGGGAAAGGGGAATGTCGTGCCGCACAGTTCAGTCGAACAAGCCCTTCCTGATGCTATGCAGCCATCAGATACTGGTGGTAGAAGAGGCCGAAGAGAGAGGTGGAGAACAGGCAGGCGGCGGTCCACCATGTGAAGAAGGACAGGAGCCCTCGAAAAAGCAAGGGGGAGAAAACAGTCCTCAATCCCCCGAGAGCGACCGATAGCTGGGCCACGGTTCGAGAGGCCTGCATCTCGCCTTGCCCCACCTCAGCGGGGCTCGAGTCCTCATTTGATAGACACGGCAAACTCTCTTCGGGGTAAATCGCCCACGAGTATCCACCTGGGGGTGAAACGAGATTATGAAAAATTCAAGAAACCCCACCGAGGCAAATGAAAATGAGAACCTAATGTCTCACCTAATGTCTTTAGCAGCAAAGTAGTGTGTAACAGCATCACCAGAGGTGCAACGTACTGGAGTGCTATTACACACAAGTAGTAAAAGACTCGGGCGACCTGTGCGAGGAAAAACAAATTTGCAGTTAAAACATTTAGGCAAATTTCGCTCAAAACAAGCAGCTTGGCTTGGAGAGGAGCTCATCAAACAGACTCGCTGAAGACTCACTGGGAGCTTAAGTACAGAGGGAGGCTGCGAGCATATGAATTTGCAGCAGATGTAAGACCAGACACCCCTGCGACTCTACAGCCATTTGCGAATCTCACTTATGGCTTGGAACATCAAACGGGCTCTTTTCCTCGGCTCCAGCTGTGGAGTGCTGTGGGTTTTGATCCTTGCGCTCCACTAAACTCAAATAGCCTCCTCATTTTGGAGCTTTGAGGGCAACAATGCCATGCAGTCCTTTTTCATACCGATATATTTCCACCTTTGAGGAATGTCGACACTGTAATGTAGACCCCTAGAGTGGACGCCACAAGAGGGTCCCTGAGTGCATTTATTAACCAGTATCAGATCAAAAATCACAAGAACAACCTAGTGAAGATGGGATATTGGGCAAAATAAAAGGATGGCTCAATTGCATATTATTAGAATTATTATACTTATTATCTCAGTGATTTTTAATGTCAGTAAGAAGAAGACATAAGAATAAAAAGTGATAAGCACCATCTTTTGAAGGTCCACGGTACTAATGCGCCCTGCTTCCTTCTTCATCTGCAAGACGCCCTTCTGGGCCAGGTTGAGGTAGGCCTGGAGATGATGCCGCATCATGGCTAGTCTCAGCACACACAGAAGCAGGATCACCCACAGACGCAGCGTGTCGTATGTCTTCTCAGACATTCTGAAAAAAGATGAAGAGGAGTGACGCATCGAATCAGGGTGAGCAAAACTTGCCCAAACCTTAGGATTGGACTTGATCAGAGAAGAATTAACAAAGGTCTCACTGACCTTTATATGAATAACATCGCTTTAGGTCAGCAAGAAATGGCATTCACAACCCATTTTACTGCCGCAATGTGATGATTTATGAGTGAAACAAAATAGGCCAGGACTGGATTGTGAAAAGTGGGCATCCCACATGAGAATGGAGCCTGAATGGGAGTTTGAGTGGATTGCCCAAGGATAATTCCCTTTCTGAAATACCATTGGAGGCTGAAAGACAACTTCACTCCCAAGAGACGGACTTATCACAATAGTAATGCTTTTTACCCCCATCCCAAATCTTTTGTTATCCTTTATTACTCTACTATTACCTGACATTAAATTTCTGTATTGTTAACTATTGGAAAGGTTTTGAGAGACGGCATACAGCAGCCAAATATACACTCACCTAGAGGATTATTAGGAACACCATACTAATACTGCGGTTGACTCCCTTTCGCCTTCAGAACTGCCTTAATTCTACATGGCATTGATTCAACAAGGTGCTGAAAGCATTCTTTAGAAATGTTAGCCCATATTGATAGGATAGCATCTCGGAGTTGATGGAGATTTGTGGGATGCATATCCATTCCACCACATCCCAAAGATGCTCTATTGGGTTGAGATCTGGTGACTGTGGGGGCCATTTCAGTACAGTGAACTCATTGTCGTGTTCAAGAAACCAATTTGAAATGATTCAAGCTTTGTAACATGGTGCATTATCCTGCTGGAAGAAGCCATCAGAGGATGGGTACGTGGTGGCCATAAAGGGATAGACATGGTCAGAAACAATGCTCAGGTAAGCCGTGGCATTTAAACGATGCCCAATTGGCAGTAAGGGGCCTAAAGTGTGCCAATAAAACATCCCATTACACCACCACCAGCCTGCACAGTGGTAACAAGGCATGATGGATCCATGTTCTCATTCTGTTTATGCCAAATTCGGACTCTACCATCTGAATGTCTCAACAGAAATCGAGACTCATCAGACCAGGCAACATTTTTCCAGTCTTCAACTGTCCAATTTTTGTGAGCTCTTGCAAATTGTAGCCGCTTTTTCCTATTTGTAGTGGAGATGAATGGTACCCGGTGGGGTCTTCTGCTGTTGTAGCCCATCTGCCTCAAGGTTGTGCGTGTTGATGCTTCACAAATGCTTTGCTGCTTATCTCGGTTGTAACGAGTGGTTATTTCAGTCAAAGTTACTCTTCTATCAGCTTGAAGTAGTCGGCCCATTCTCCTCTGACCTCTAGCATCAACAAGGCATTTTCGCCCACAGCACTGCCACATACTGGATGTTTTTTCAATTTCACACCATTCTTTGTAAACCCTAGAAATGGTTTTGTGTGAAAATTCCAGTAACTGAGCAGAGTGTGAAATACTCAGACCGGCCCGTCTGGCACCAACAACCATGCCATGCTCAAAATTGCTTAAATCACCTTTCTTTCCCATTCTGACATTCAGTTTGGAGTTCAGGAGATTGTCTTGACCAGGATCACACCCCTAAATGCATTGAAGCAACTGCCATGTGATTGGTTGATTAGATAATTGCATTAATGAGAAATTGAACAGGTGTTCCTAATAACCCTTTAGGTGAGTGTATATCACCTATACGCATATTTGATCTCATGAGAAACCTTAACTACTTTACGAGTTGGTGGTTTTATATATGAACGAAAAAAGCATGTTTTTTTTTTTTTTTGTTGAAAAAAGCATGACAGTCCACCCTTCAACCTAACCATCAGTGGGGCGTAAGCAGAACAAAAACGTACAAATGAGATTATACAAATTCAGCAAGATGTAAAATAGTTACTAAATGTCATAAGAGTGTGTGGGCTATTTGTCAACATAATTTCCACCCTTCATGGCATCAAACAAAGCCAGAGGCAGAACAAATTATTAAAAAACGATACCTTAATTATAATAGACATCCATTTTCTTCCGAATAATGTGAACTGATGAATCATGCACAATAAAACCAGGAATGTGTATTAAGAAAATAATCAAGGACAATTTAGATTTCATGTTGACTTCAAAAGTTAATTTCCTTTGTTTACACCAATGGTCTTGATGAACACCAAAACATTTTTTATATATTTATTATTTAATCAAGAACAATTCAACAAACTAGTAATGCAAAATGTCATGTTGTCAAAAAACAAACAAAAAATCATATTGTAAAATAAGGTACTCACAAAGGCACACCATCTTTCCCAAATGTGGGATTTATTATGCAATCCTTTGTTATGGGCTTCACCCATAGCAGTACCATAATTAAGGGGGCCAAGAAGTTGATATGTAGCAAAATCCTGAAGGATGGACACATAAAAACAAACCATTAGACATGGCAACACACAAGAGTATCAATATCAGTGGAGCAGTAAACATCAAATATCACGAAGCACCACTGCTTTAAATGTAGCATTTCACCAGCACAAGAAGCATGGAAGTAATCCAAGCCTTAAAGAGGTCTAACTGTAAGCCTCATAGTGTCATGAGAGCAGAAGAGGATTAGCTATGTGAGATGTGTAATGCCTAACTCCTCTTTTGTAAAACAGTTACCCTAAAGCCCGACGCTGGCTGAAAATGGACAACAGGTCCATCTGCATTAATACTGGTCTGCTAACTTGCCGAGAATATTGTCAGACACTGATGCTCCAGATTAATTAACATGGAAAATTGCTAGTGGCATCAATATTTAAATACAAATTCAGGTTGACAAATCATATACTGTTTCAAAGGACAAAGAAATACAAATAATTCAAACTACTTAAGTGACTAGTTTCAAAATAATAGTAATTATAAGGATGATGAGATGTAATATAAGGATGATGAGATGTAATAAAACATATATTATTTTGAAAAACATTTACTGTGTGACTTTGCAGTCGTTTAACGTGAGGGCATCAAGATGCATCTGGGCCAATCGCAGGCCAGGGAAGGTGAGAAAGGCTCCGATGAGAGCACAGAACAGTGCCAGGATCAGCTTAAAGGTCAGCTTGGATATAGGACCCCTGCAGATGCAGAGGAAAAGCAGGGAGGTTCACCACAGGGAAGCCCAAACCATCACATACACGGTTTAATCTTAACCCACAGAGACATGGTATACTGTATACACACACTCCCTCTGTACTGATGAAGAGCCATAATACTCACTGGGACTCAAGGCCTTGGTTCTCCAGAAACTGCACGGCACTTTCGGAAAAATTAGCAAACCCTATGAAAGGAGAAAAAGGAGGATAGTAACAGTGTATATCGACAGAAATTCTTAAATATATAAATGTTACAAAAAAAAGAAAAAAAATGGTAGGTGTGTATGATAATATCCTCATTCATTTTGAATCGATGTGCGAGGTGATATTAAATATGAGAATTTGACAAATTGAATGATGCATACATCTAACAAGGATATAAAAAAGCCATTATATAGGTTAAAAAAATTGCTTCATAGTGGAAAAGTTCAATTCATGCACTGCTGTGAGCTAGTATGAAAAACCATGACAGAACTAAATAAGCCAAGGTACCAGCACAAAACACTCAACGTAATGTAGCCTGTTGCAGTTTAAATCATAATGCCAGAGTGATATGAAGTGATGCGAGTGATTCAAATCGAAGAGATTAAAATGGTCTACAAAATAAAAGCATGGCGACTGTCATGTGAATAACTTTTCACTTTGGTTAAGTAAACTGGGAAGCCAAAAGCTTTTCTTTTAGTGTCTACATGTCCACATTCCTTGTGTTAAGTGACATCACAAACAAAAATAAACCATAAAACAATAGCTCCCCACATATTGTGAAAGTTTATTTCATTCCAGGACTGGTTAGTGTATGATGATGTGAGTGATGAAATGGAAAATGGTTTTGTTTTTTGTTTTTTTAAGAAATAATGTAATGTACAGTTACACTGTCATGTGTTCATTTTAGAACAAAATGGTCTCACATTCTATTACTACATACTTTAAATAAAGAAACCGATACACAAAACACCCAACTTGACACTACTATACCTGTCTCAAGGCCAAATTCCAGGTAGTTCTCTGTGACAATAAGGATAGCCATTGCTTTCACGAAGAAGAAAAAGGCAAAGGTGATGCAGAGGGAACGCTCACCACCCTCCTCTAGTCTGAAGTAGTGAGCCGTGAGGGAGAAAAGGATCTTCCTGAGAAAAACTAAAGCTAAGGAACATAGTCACAAAGGGCACTTTTGTACACTATACCAAAAATTGCACTCCAAAAACATCAGAAAAAAATGCTTAAATTATTTTTTTTATCTAATTAAAGAAATATTCTGGGTTATGATTAATAATAGGTTTATAATAATTGCTGTATACTTGCCCTATAGCAAACAAAAGACATTTCCTTCATTTTATAAACTGTTACATATGCCGTTGATAGATTATGCTGTTGGATTTAGCAGATCCTTTAAGTGCCATTACTCTGATGGATTTTACTTATCAACTGTCTGAAAACAGCTATAAAAATGACATTTTTAAATGTAATAATTGTTTTTTGGTACTATAATATTTTATGTTTTTCTCTAAAACTGAGAAAAATCAAAGCTATAAATCAATCCAAATCCAAATTTGAAGTTGATATATCAAAAAATGAGCTTTCAGCAGGAATTTGTTTGTGGACAGAACCAAACGCTTCCAATAGATGAAATTCGTCTCCCATTCATTTCAAATGCGCTAATTTTTGACCATGAACAACAAAAGTTCGATTTTTTTTAGAAGTGTCAAAACCTTTACCATGTTTTGTAAAAATGTAAACATTTTCAGTAAAAAATGAACGAACACCACCAGAGCGTTAAAATCGGATTCGATTTTAAAACACTACGCAAAAAAAAAAAAACTACACTACACAATTTTCCGTGGAATCTGCCAACTAGCATTGGCAAAAATCTATAAAACAAGTCATAGTACAAGTCTTACATTTAGTGTCATAGCAGCAGAGAAACATGTTAAAAACATGCCCCATCAAACGAGTGTCAAAGCTAATATCCTTACGGTGAGAAACGACAAATTTGAAAATCGTCAACAGCAGACAGAAAACATCTAGCTGCACCTTTGTTAGGACTGCTTGCCTATATGTGCCCGTTTTGATTATACTGGTCTAGGGTCAATCATTCAACTTGTGGCTACGTCGTGCAAATCTGCAAGGCAAGCGGGCGGCCATCTGAGGAAATGTTTTAGTGACCATCTCTTTGACAAGGCCATTTTCCCCACCACACATCAGGAAAAATGGCTCCCTCCTGTCCACATTCAGCCATTTGCACACATACAGACCTATCATCATCGTCATCATCTTCATCACCCTACCAGGCACCTTCCTTCCTTCCTCTCTTTTTCCCAGGCAAATCAGTCCGGTGGGCCGTGAAAATTGGGCCTCCAATCTTCTGTGGCAGGCTGAGCTAGGTAAAGGGCAGTGCCGAGCGGAGGGAGATTGATCTTTGTGGACTGTGCCGAGGTTAATGTGTGTGATTTGGTGTGGCACTAGAAGGGGAAAGTAGCAGGTAAAAGCCAACAGGTGCAGCTTTCATCACTCATGACTAGACTGTCTCTGCATCGACAGCTTCTCCACAAGGGTTGTCTTATACAAAGATGTTTTAACATTTAAGGACTATGGACATATTATTGAATAAAGTACTTTAAAAGTTCCTTCTGGAGTTCTGTTAAAATAACAAAAGTCTCCCTGTGTAAATCAAATCATGTTTTGAGAAACGACAATATTTTCAAATGATTTAGTATCCCTGGTGGTGTTTGTTAAGCATCTCCATTACTACTAATGTTTGCGATTGTGGATTTTAAACCCCAAACTGAAGTGTAAAGAATGATGATTAACTTCAAATCTCTCTTTAAAACTATGCTATAAAAACAAGGCACATCCAAGCAAATAGCAATACCCTGGCAACCATTAAAACAAATCTGTAGCATTGTTGCGTTCATACTTACACGGGCAATACCAGTCACATTTCCTTGAATGTGACTAAATGTATATTATTTATTTTTTTAATGACTGAAAGAGTTGTCGAAACTTAGTGGTGATGGAAAAAGGTTGAGCGACCGTGGTGTAGTTTGTTTATAGCCTAATGTCAGCTTTTTACTTATGGCGATTGTATTTAGGCTTCAAAATGTATAAACAGTGGTAATTTTTGAATGATCTTGATGGACAAAACAAGATCTGCTGCAAAGACACGCGGTTCTCCTTACCAAACTGTGATGGACAACATCGCAATTATGATGAGAAAAAAATGGTTTGCTTGATAATTCTGTCATTTTTAGGGTCACATCTTGTGAAATCTTATCCCGGTTTTGGTTTGCCTACATGTCTTTGGTCTGCATTGCTTTTATATTTTATGGAAGCGGACCGAGAGCCCTTGTTTGGTGCGAACCAGGGTTCGGAATTCGGATGGTAGCGTCCACACTTATTAAAATGAACCGCACTGACAAAGAGTTTTAATCAAACCAATATGCCAAGTATTACACACCCTTAAAAGCCAATGGGGATTTTTTTTCTTTTTTTTCGACGAGGGAACCAGTGATGATGCTGATTTACAGGTTGGCCTATTTTACACGCTCAATAAAGCACTCTATTAAAGTATTATTTTCTTAAAAAAAAAACAAAAAACTATTTTGACCCTATTTTTTGTTTTTGTATTTCACATCAATTTTAAAATGAAATCCTTATATGAAAGAATGCCATGTTATTTGTCAACTACACTAATAATTAAATAACTGCAAGAATTGATAGCAATAAAATATGAAAGAGGGAAACCAATGGAAAAGATGAAATGAGGAAAAACTCCTTCAGTAGTCTTAGCTCAAAAGGGATACATGACAAAGGCCAAGACCAGCAGGCTCCACACCACACTGATGTTCATCTCTCCACTGGGCTCTGCCACACAGAAGTACAGTTCAGTGATGAGATACACCACTGTGGCGGCCACCGTAAAATCCACCAACCACTGGAATTCAGGAAAATAATGCAGAGCTAGACAAAAAGACAGCCAGACAAAAAGAGAAGCTTTAGAAAACCAAAGTTTCTTAGAAGATCCATTAAGCTCAAGGACTCATTGGGCATACAATGACAACAGGTGAGTTACCAAGTGTGTCCACTTCTGCAATGCACTTAGTCTCCAGCTGAAGGTCGATGTCTTTGGGAATAGTCATCGGCTTGTTTTCCAAGTGCCCATTGTACTTCCTGAGAAGTAAAACGTGAACATAGCACATATAATAGTTATCCCCTGAATGTAGGCTAAGCTGAAATAAAACACACACACACACAAATTACCAAGGACATTTCAGGCCAAAAACAAAAACCATTGACTTGCCAGTATTGCTGAATAAATTGTATTAATATTGCTTTTTATTTATGCTTTTGAATAAAACGTAATATAAAACATAAGAGTTTGAGATTATTATTTATTTTTCAAAGTGCGTTACTCAAAATCTCGGCCATAAATAAGTAATATTTAGCATACTTCCTGATTTTTATTTTTTTTTTAAAATGATAACAGTATGTTCTTCCAAGTAGCCGCCGTTATCATCTTCTGCTGCCCAGATAAGACAGAATTTATTCAAGAGCATCTTGGGTACTTTATCCATTCATTTATGATGGTTCAGCACTCTTATAAGTGGCTTCAGTTGTAAGATGATGGGGCTCCTCTGGCACTTAACCTCATTACACAATGCAATGCGTCACATGACTCATATCTTATTCCTGATAGTGAGAAACCTGGTTGCTACATGAAGTGGGATGTCATCATCCGGGTGAGAAGTTCAGAAGCTCCCACTTTCAAAAGACATTTGTGTTTCATTTATTTTGTAATACTCAGCTAAATTTTGTGGAATAACTTTTATGGAGTTTAAGTTGATTAAACTAATGAAATGATTTCATAAATCTGTCATTTTGACTACTGACCTGCTCTTAAAATTGAATATACAATACAGACTACAATGAATTAGTAATATTGAGTCAGTGGTGACTAACTTTAGAACTATTCAGATGGTAGTAGTTTACATTGAGGATGAAAAGTCAATATTACTAATAATTCTCACTTCTATAAACTTGTGTGAAGTTAATTTAAATAGGGGTTTGCCCTATTATTGCCCATCTGTAACGCCTACATCTACAAAACACACTCCCATCAGTCCCGTCAGAATCAGTTAATGAAATCACATCATTTAGAAAACTAATCCTGCCCAAATAGGTTTTTGGAAAACATTAAAATAGTGTCCTTTGGACCGTTAAGTAAAAACACTTTATTATCATTGTATACAGTGCAGTACAATCCCTCATCATAACTCATTTTTGAAGTGCTGTGATACAAATTGTTGAATTTTTTTTTACTCGTATAATTATGAGCTTTCATAATACTTTGGCCAATATTTATATTTGAAACAACACTAATAATTTTAAGGAAAATTAAGAAAGAAAAATAAAAAACTTCAGTTCTTGGCCAAACAATTATGAATGCACATAATCATGACTAGAAAAATTGTTACCTATACACTACTGTACAAATGTTTAAGGGTCGGGAAGATTTTAAAAGTCTCTTGTGGTCACCAAGGTTGCATTTATTTGATCAACATTACTATAGTGATATATATATATATATATATATATATATATATATTATATTAATATTAATATATTAATATATATTAAATGTCATTTATTTCTGTGATAAAGCTGAATTTACATCATCAGTCCTTAGTGTCACATGATCCTTCAGAAATCATTCTAATATCCTGATTTCTTTTTATTATAATCAGATTTCTCTCATAATATTCTGATTTCTCTTATTATAATCAGTGTTGAAAACGTTTTTGTGGCGACTGTGATACATGTGTTTTCAAGATTCTTTCATGAATGGAAAGTTCAAAAGAAAAACAATTATTTAAAATAATATCTTCAGCAACATTAGTATAAATGGCTTTACTGTCCCCTTTGACCAATTTAACTTTTCAGGTCACCTAATTATTATAAATTAAACTAAATTTAATATACAATTTTATGGCGAGCAAGCAAAAGAACAGAAAGAACTGCAAAGCTGGTATCAACATGTGGGATCGCCAACTTAGTTCAAAGGACAGCAGATTTTCCGCAGACTAACTGAGGGCTCTGTCTCTATTGGAAACCAAACACTAGAGTTTGCACATTTTACTGGGGATTAGAGGAGCCCTCCCCGCTCTTGAAAAAGAGCTAAATCCACACAACGTTCAAATCAAACATTTCCACCCATCTCCAATGCCGTCTGCATGACAAAGAATAGAGAAATGAATGTCGGGCTCTGCTGGGAGCGGTGGGATATTGGAAAGGGGCACAGGCCTTTGCGTGAAGGCGTCTAGTATGCAAGCTTTCTGCATGAGATTTTGAACCTGAGATTCTTGGACTTCTCCTTTGGGTCCCTGTTGTTTACACAGGTCAGTGTGCACAATGGTGTTCAGCACAAAAGCACTGTGGGTATGTTAGTCTCCCTGCTCTGGATTGCGGCATACCTGCCTGACGAAATGGCCCAAGAGCTCCCTGCAGAGCAAAAACGGGCTTTTGTCTGAGAACAGGAGGTAGGTATAATAGAGCTGACTATCAAAACTAAGCTGCTAGACACGGGCTAGTCTACCTTTTCAGGGAATTAGCACTGTTCGCATAGTCCAAAGCTTTCACCCACGGCGGAATATAGGCAGCAAGGCTGCTTGATCTTCATCGACAAAAGTCAAATGTGCACAAATCTAGAGAAATGCAGTTTTGTACCTGTCTTTTTTGCTCTTTCCTCCTTTCTGCTGCTTTCCAGCCAAAGTCCTCAGCTCATCTTCAGTGGGGTGCTGGTACCAACGCAGACTAATAAGACAAAGAGAAGTATTACACCACCATCTCTGAAATACACACAGAGCTCTAGAAAAACATATGCTACCATTCAAAACACAAGCATTTGGGGTCGGTAAGATTTTATGTTTCTGATAAAAGTCTGCATTTATTTGATACAAAAATACATATTTTGAAATATTATTACAATTAGCCTAACAGTTTACCATTTTAGTATATTTTAAAACATAATGTATTCCTTCCTGGGACGCCATTTATCCAGTTTTCAGAATTGGAGTACAGGAAACATTTATTATATTGAAAACAATTAAGCTGCTAATATTCTTGTGGATTTTAAAAAACATAAAAAACATTGTAATAGTCTTTATAAGTCACTTTTGATAAATTTAATGCATCACTGCTGTATTCATTTATTTTTAAGTCTTACTGACTCCAGACTTTTGAACGGCATAGAAAAGAAAATGTTGGTCAAGTGTTGTTTTAAAGAAGCTAAAATAAACTTTTGTTTAAAAATCACCCCCAAAAATGTATCGGTCATCATTTAGTTTCAAACCATTATGACTTTTATGACAAAACTCATATATTTTGAAGAATGTCTGTGTCCATACAATATGGGGTCTAAAACAACATGCGATTAAACCAATTGACTTTCATTGCATGGACCACTTTCATAATTATTTTATGGTGCCTTTGTGACCCTTTTTGAAGGTTGAAAGCTTCAGTCTGCATTCACTGGAACTGCATGGAAAAGAGCGACAAGCGCAGCCTTCTGAATTTCTCCTTTTATGTCTCACGGTCACGGTAGACACAAAGATTATCACATGAATTTCAATTTTTGTGTACACCATTTTTTAAATGATGAAGGTGGTTTGACGCTAATAAAATGAGCAGATCTTTGGTGGCAAACATTTACCACAACCCCTTCAACTTTGTTTAGAAAGCCGGCCCGTCACGAGCCCTGAGAGGGCTGTACTGCTTTCAGTTTGTTTTTTTGCAAGTTTACTTCCTAATGAAAACTTAATTATGAAAGTCTCCCGGGCAACACTTCAAGCCCTGCACTCAAGCCAGAGTTTTCCCAAACTATTTTTACAGCCAAAAACAAGCACAGATGAATTATTGAGCACATTTGGATGAGCTGTTTACTCTAAACACATATGGCTCTAATTAAGGGGGGAAACAAGCATGGCTTGTACTTTCGTTAGCGGTTCTCTTGGGTTACAGCGCTTTTTGATGATACCCTTTGGTCTTACTGAAAACCCATAATGATGCATTTTTGATGGGCCCTTAATATGAACAATAAAATAAGGGATATGCTCGCAGAAGTGGAGAAGGATCTGTGGTTTGTGTTGTTAAGGATTAAGATGACATTTTAGGTTGACCATCGAGAGGGATGCCAGAGTGGCACAGTGGGCTGTACTTCCTCATTACCTGCCACTGCAGAGGAGCCATCGTGCAAAGGAATAGTGGGGTATGATCTTCTGAATCATGCTGGCCATTACCATGGTAACCACCAGCTGCACACTGATCACACCCTGAAGGGAAAGAGTGAAATATTAGAACACTTTCTGATCGCACCAGCAAGAACAAGAAGCCTAGTTACTTACCTCAATTGCCATTTTGGTTGGCAAGAGCATATGATTTTGAGGTGAAATTTGTGGTAGCATAAAATGACTCAAAATACTTTGCAGATATGTATTTCAGTAAAAAAAAAAACAAAAAAAAAACAATGTCTTAAGGCACCTACACACACTATAATCAGGCCGATTTTAGGCCCAATTCTCCCCTTCTGACAATCCTAGGTAAAGTCCAGATTATTTTGTTGGTATAATTGTTGGACAGATTATCTCATCAGACTTTCCTGTGATTTTTGAGAGCCTGATTAAAATAAAAACAAAAGTCTCACCATTAAATGCATGTCCCAAGCACACAATTACAAAAATGTTCTCAATTTAATTGTATGTAGCCTATATGACAGACTTGCACTGCACATGTTGCAATTAACTGCATCTTCCTTTTCTGAAGTGATTCCAATCATATTTCAAGCAAGAAAAAAAACCATCACGTTGAACTGAATTGTACTGGCAAATGAAGTGCGTCAGCTGAATGAAATAATCACTTTATTTATCGGCTTTAACGTATTGGCCAAATCTTCTTATTGGGCCGATAACGATAACATTAAAAATGACCATATTGTGCATCCCTAGATGCAATGTGTGTTAGAGTGACGAAGAACGAATCGGCTGGGAAGAACATCAGGGCCGCAGCAATCTCAAACCATAAATATGCGACATTGAATATTTAGGATCAGATAACCTGTTGTGTGCGGAGAATCCAGCAGTAAAAAGAACGAAGCATCAAACGACATCCAAATTTTTTTCTTGTGAATTTTCTGTAAATAGCAATCCAAACACTATTACAGTAACTTCTTCTCGTCCACCATCTGCCATGTTTGTTTACTCTAAAATCACGTTTAAACGTGAAAGATTTCTGCAAGGTTTTGCGAGCTTGCCTGTGTTTGCAGTCGGGACTCCAGAGTTTGTGAATGAAATCTGGTAGTGTGTGTGTGTCTTGGTCACATCGTGGCACTCCACACACTAATCATGGAACAATTAGTTCATGCATTAATGACCTTAAGGCTAGATTATTGTAATGCTCTACTGGGTGGTTGCCCTGTACGCTTAATAAACAAACTACAGCTAGTTCAAAACGCAACATCGCATAAATGTTAAAATACTGCCGATTACTTAAAAAGCACTAAATGGTTTAGCTTTGCAGTACTTGAGCGAGCTCTTAACGCATTATAGTCCTTCACGTCTATTGCAATCTCAAAGTTCCGACCAGTTAATAATACATAGAATATCAAAAATCGACTGCTGGCGGTAGATCCTTTTCCTATTTAGCACCAAATCTCTGGAGCAGTCTTCCAACCATTGTCCGGAAAGCAGACACACTCTGTCAGTTCAAAGCTAGACTCAAAACACATCTCTTTGACCTAGCATTCACATAATAAATTATCGACTTCTATATTAGGCTGCATAGGCCAGCCGGAACAAGGAACACTTCCCTTGAATCCTGATGTGCTCGTTACATCATAAGAAGAATGGCATCTACACTAATTCTTTGTTTATCCTGAGGTTTTCCCGCAGACTGCCAGATCCAGGCCATTTTCAGATCTAAAGGACTTTCGCCTGGACCCAATGACAACGCAGTGCTGAAGTGCCAACTAGCCACTCCTTATGGAGGATCCCTATACAACTCTACAGATAAAGTATTGTGGAAATTTCGGTTCACGTACCAACCCCAAGTGATAAAATAAAATTCTGTATCAAAATTTATAGGCATGACAAGTTTGTTTAGGGATGGTTTGTAGGGAATTACAAACCTGCGCACATATATTCAAATGCTCATAACTACAGAATAAATTGTTAATGCACATCACCTGTTATCACAGGATCGCATTTAAAATCTGTTTATAGAAAACGGTGTCATCTTAGCGGCCCCTAATTTAATAAAAAAGGATCATTTCGACGGAAGTGAATCAATCAAAACTAACTTTAGCTGGAAAATAACATTATTCAAGAACCGCTATAAAACCAAACCAAACCAATCTCTGTTACCTTAAAATATATGTTTAACTCTGTAAAGCTGCTTTGAAACAATCCACATTGTTAAAAGCACTATATAAATGAGGACGACTTGACTTAACTAGTTCATGTTTGTGGCCTTTCACATTTTGAAAATCTGATTTAGTGTGGGGCAGTCTTTAAGTGAAAAAAAGACGGGAAAAGCGATGAATTTGTTACCTCAAAAGGTAATAAACTTTCCAAATTATGCTGACTTACCCAGTCAAGCACCAACTCTGTAATTTCCTTAAACACCCAAGCATCAAACTATGACTGCTGGCATCAATGGGCAATCTCACCATCCATGCGTGTAAGGCACAGTGTCCTGACCCTATGTTGAGGATGGTGATATGCATTCAAATGATCTCTGATCTGCACAAATTGCTATGTGTCTAGCTAGCCAGTTTCAAACTCACAAAAAAGAAATTTAAATGGCAACATGGCTTGCGTGTCACTTATGAACAAAGAAATCGTGAATCATACTGTAGAGCAATAATAATAGTGCATGTAAGTGACATGACAGAAAAGCTAGGAAATGATCTGCAATATTCTGTGATTTCGTAATTTTGAAAGGTTGACTTGTTGAGTTCTGTTCCATGACTTTGGAGCCTAATTGTCAAGAGTTGTGGAATGCAATGGTCCCATGTTCTTGAAAATCTAGCCGTTTATTTAGTATATAAGACTTTTGGATGAGCATGAGGGGTACATGAGTGGAGCAACTAAACACAGGTGCACAGAGCAGAATATTGAGCGGAGCGTCATATGAGTGAAACCTGAGCACTGAGGGGCTGCATATATTTTTTGGACATTTTTTTCTTTAGGACAATTTTCAGCGGACAATTTTCGTCAACTGAAATTTTGGTGCATCCCTAAAAAAATTGTACATCTTTTTTTTTTTTTTTAAACTTAATTTTTTTTATATATATTTGCTCACTGTATCCAACCTTAGCTCTATTTGTCTCAACTTCTTTTATTCAACCACATTTTACTGTGATATAAGCACTGCTGCCATTTAGCCAAATTCAGTAAAACACTGTGAAAAATTAGCTTCTCGTTATACCTTTAACTACGAAAACCTTGCACTGATGTGCAGCACAAATGCAAAGCTTTCCATAACAACTTTTATATTTCATTTATCCCGCTTTTCACCACTTTGACAAATACCAGTACCTGCACTGAGGTAGAGCCACACAATGGCACAATAGCTATAATGTGCTGGTCTGAAACGCATGAAAGCAGCCACAGGCGTCTTTTCACTGCTGGTCACAAACATCTCTGGGAGAACAAACCAGCCTTCAATGTTTCCCTAATTTTACCGGAAACAGAGAGGTATCCCATTGCCATGGCTGAGAATTATATAGCCCATATGAATGAATGAGAGACTGTCGGGAAAAGGGCTATTAAGTTGAATCAATAAATTATATTCATATGTGGGCTAGCCTAGAATCAAGTGTATAGATACAATGGGGCTAAATGCACACCCTAAGAAAAATGTGCTTTTCACTGCTCCCATAGTGTATGATAGCAGAAAAATATAATATGTTTTTTATTGAATGTTGATGGAGCAACAGATTGTGTCGAAAAATAAATCATAAAAGTGTTTTGCTTGTTTAGAAATGGTATAAATGTATGAGTTGGGGGGGGGGCTTTCATACCATGTGTGGGACAGCATGGGGCAAAAGGCACAAAGGACTGATACAAATATGTAGCTAATTAATATGCCTTTAATAAGGTCTAAGTTAAATCTTGTTCAAAACAATGAACTTCAATTCAGCAAAGTTGGTAGTATTTTTGGTTTATTTTGGCTGAAAATCTTTAGACATGTGTCTCAATATGTAGACAATTTTAATCGATTGTAATTTGCTTCACAAATCTACAAAATTTTAAAAACCATTAAATATTACATACAATTAGCGCAGAATCAACTTATTCATCGTCCGGTGTCATTTAAAGCCCTTTGAAGCTGCACTGAAATTTGGACCTTGAACCGTTTGGTTACCATTGAAGTCCATTATATGGAGAAAATCCTGGAATGTTTTCATCAAAAACGTTAATTTCTTTTCAACTGAAGAAAGAAAGACGTGGACATCTTGGATGACATGCAATAAGGTACGACATGCAATAAGGTTCGAAAGGCCGCTTCACGCCTAACAACGCTCTTCAGCTGTTACTTATTCACGATACAGCACTTGCCTTGAGTACCTTATTGCTTTTATAAAATGGTTACCACACAATAAAAATATTCAAGTAAAAAAAAATATGTATTAGTGCAACTTTCAAGAAGAAAAATAATCACTAAAAGCTTTCCTTTCGCTAGAAAAAAATAGTCCCTGACCGTGAACAGCAACAACATTCCAATGTGTAATGAAACCTCAAATAAAAACAACATAGTAACTGCAGTGTTGCGCAGTGATATATAACCGTTGGGTGAAGCGGTCATAGCCGTGCTTCATTGTGAATAAAGCACAGCTATTGACCAATCAGAATAAAGGATTGGAACTAGCCGTTATACAAGAGAATAAAGTCAAGTGACCCTTTTACCCCGGTGCACCTTTAGTCTCGTTGTACCCTATATTTTACTATGTTTTTAGTTGTTTTATTAAGACACACTGGCATTATAACAGTGCTCAGGAAAATTTTTAAATCAGTTTTATGTGAATAACCCACTTTTTGAAGATATTACAATTTATGTAGAAATACATATCATTTTATTCATTCAGAAAACAGAGGAATGAGGATTTTTAAATATGAAGGATTATTTGGGGATATTTCCCGAAAGGTAAAGGTGCAAATCTTAATGTCCATCCAACTATCAATGTTGTTGAGATGGGTCAGTTTCCAAGACACTTGCCATTAGTCAACTAAAACCATCAGAAAAGCATAACACCTTAAGATACCAGCCTACAATCCTGGACATTCTCCTTAAAAGCGTGACATAAAAAAAAATGTGATGGCTCCCTTGCTGGGGAAGTTTGATCGGTCAGTGTAAGTCACCATGAGAGGTTGGGGCAGAAGAGGTAATTGAAGCAGCATGGGACACTTATCTGCCAGTCTAGCAGTGACCTGGACAGCACAGGGGCCAAATTAGCTTTGAAGGGGGGCACTGAAGATAACCAGCAGGTCTAGAAGCCCAGTCACCATACAAAATAATGGTCAAGAGGAGAGTTGCCTTGGTAAAATATGGATTTTTGAGCTCTCCAAAAACACCCTGTGGTGACAAGTCCAAACCAAGCGTGCTGCACAAGCCCTGAAAAGTGAAGCCAAAGCGTATCGATCGCCCCCGGTGGCCGGTCCTAGTATAGGTCATAATCCCCCCTCCACATGTTAATTAACAGCATGTGAGACAAACTAAACAATTAAATTACAATTCAAATATCGTTTTTTCCAAACATGCTTTCTGTCATTTACTGTAGTTTATATCATGTGTTTGTTTTTTTTAAATAAGTTTGTTTTTAGTTAGTTGTTAGTTGAAGCGGTCATGTAATGTTATGATTGACAGGTTCTCGGAGGTCTGATGAGATTGGAGCTTTAAATGTAATATCTAAATTTCCTATAATTAATTTAAAAAAAAAAAGTGCAGGAGCGTGTTCTTGCGATTCTGCAAGAGTGAGGGCGGGTCCTTGATTTCTTGGCTTTACTTCCTGCTCACGACTGCGCATGTCTGTTTCTGAAATTGCTACTGCACTGACTCAAGTTCCAAGATGTCAGCACAATATAGGGATACTGGCGGCTTCACTTCTGACCAATGGAAGAGAGCAAAGGGGCGTCGTCCATCTTTTAATATAGTCTATGATCCAAACACTGCAATTAATTTCCTTCCATTACCAAAGTTCTCAATGATATGTTGTTGTATATGGAAAAAAACAGACGACATCAACCTAAAACTGATATAATAGCATTATTATTAGATGATATATAGTAATTGCATCACCTTATAACCACATGATACAACATATATGCCTCCAGCGATTCAGAAGTTCTGCTGAGACTTAAATATTAATGAAGCATTTACAGAATGTAAAATAACCATACTTTCAGTCTTGGCCTTTAAAGAGTGTGTCCATGTCACAGGAAGTATGTGCAGAAAACAAACTGAGGTCTGAGCAGTATTTGAGGCTAAGCCATATTTCATAATTAATCATGTTAAGGTACTTGTGTGTCCCAAAATCGTATGATTTTGAGGAAAACTTTCCAGTGCACGTTGACTTAATTAGAAAATAAAATGGCAGTACAATGTATTGGTGCAGAGATGAGAACGTATATTTTATAAAATACTTGCAAATGCTTTTTATCAATAGAAGCACCACAAAACGGCCACCTGTTGCATAGGAGAACTACTTAAACAGTTAAAGTGCAAAGTAATGAAAATATAAATATAGCTCTGTAAAACGTTCTCTGCACAATACAATGTTTTAAGTGTTTTCCTTCATGTAATCAAAATTTCTACACACTTGAACGCAAACCAAATGGAAATACATCATGAGAGCAGACAAGTGATCATGTGTGGATATTGGGACAGGCCTATAATTTTTCTTTAATTGAGCAGTGACAACTTAGGAGTGAGATAGTTCTTCTAAACATGACAATCCTGTCATCATTTCCTCACCCTCATGTCATTCCAAACATGTATGACTATTTCTTCTGTGGAACATAAAATGACATGTTTTGCAGACTGTTTGTAACAGTCTCTGTTCCTTTTCATTTCACCGTTTCCACACAATGAAAGATAAAGGCAACTGATGCATAACATCCCTTTCTGTACAGAAATACATATTACACCAGTTTGAAACTTCTAGAGGCTGAGTACAAGGTGACAGAATCTTTATTTGGGTTTAACTTTTGTGTCATTTTTTTTTCTGGTTCAGTGGGTAAGAGATGTCCTCTGGAACCCTTCCATGACGTCATTCAGTGGAGGGCATTCTGAGGTCAAAAGCACCTGCACCAGGTGAGGCACATCCTCCCCCTACTAGCATGTCCAGCATTTACAACTAACTTACCATTAAAATGACGCTAAATTATATCATTCTTCATTTCTGCTTAAAAACTATGCATACAGTATGCAATCCATACGATGCAATGTATGAAACCCATACGATGCAATCCTAATGCAAAGAAATGTCTGCAATCATGCTTCTAGATCTGGATCATCTATCATCAGAATGAACAAATGAATAAAATATCCTCACGTTTAATAACTAGCATGCATTAAAGCAAACATGACAGTAATAATGCATTCAGATGATGTGCTCACTTACCATATTGATGTTGCAGTGCAGTGATAGATCTCAAAGCCGGTTGACACTCTGAGCACCCCGGAGCGGAGATCCAGCGGCACGGAGCACATAAGCCTGTCTTACGGTGCTGGTATTTGAGAGTACTGTGTTGACAGGTAAAACGAATACCTAAACAAACATCCCACTGATCGAGCCGCGGCTTCACTGTGTTTTCAACTGCAGTAACTTAGAGGTCACGCTCAGACTCTCACCACAGGGCTGTCGCTGACAGCCTGCACGGTTGAATTACTGCTAGAACCTTTTAATAATGAAAGTCTGTATGATGATAATGTTCTGAATTGATTATTAACATTTATTTTTCTGTTTATATTCACATTGTTAAGTATATTGGTAATGGAAACGTTGAATCATTATCATTTTTGAAACAGGCGCTGTTTTGGACGACTTCAGGATCTTGCAGGACCCCTTCACCGGAAGTAGGGAAAGGAGCACATGTGACGTTTTCCTACCGGTGTTGTTAACCCTGCACAGGACTGAGCAAGAATTATGTCTATGGGACTGAGGATGCTGAGGAGTGTTAGTGCAGATTTACTACCAGAAACCCTTAGCTTTGTGGTGTTAATTAGCGAAATCAGGCTGTACGATGATAGTAATCAGAGAATCATTAAATTAAATGATTTTCATGTTAGATTTTTTTTATGTATTATAAATTATTATTTATAGGCCTTAGATTTCACCCTCTTTTTTCCCTTGTTCGTTTATTATTGCATTGTATAATGTTTTTTTTTCTGAATATGTAAGGGAAAAAGTATTGAACTGAGTTTTTTTATTTAAATAGCTACAGTATCAAGAGAATATCATGCAGCTTCACTGTTTTGCATTTTCAAGTAACTTGATTTATTTATAAATGTAAAGCATTAAAACATTGTTCTTTTAGATTTCGAAATGATGTTGCATTTGCATTCTCTCTTCTAAAATTTTTTTTTGTGTGTGTGTGTGTGTGTGTGTGTGTGAATGTAATTTTATTGTAATTTATGTATTTGTTTTATGCCTGATATGGTTAATTACTCTTTCTCTATTCACTGTTTTTTATTCTCTAATATTTTATATTTAATTATTATTTTTAATAATATTTTTTTAGTATTATTGTTTTCTATACAGTGATAATTATGACACATTTAATTCATTTCATATGATCATTAAAACTTGATCCAAACATGTGTTTCTGTTTAATGATTAAATTTGGATAATTGAAGTGCCAGTCATAATTTCAATACGGTTTGAAAAGCATCCCAAGAGTCACCTTGTGCGATTTGAGCCGATTATAATAATTTGTAGACAAAAGGTAGTGAATTGGAAGAGTCTGACTCTAAACTATGGAAAAGTTGTTAAACATTTGATAAATGTAGATAATGGTAATAATAAAGAATGAGTAGGCGTGTCCACACATTTGAGTAGTAGTTTAAATAGCAGTGGGTCATGTATACTCTCACTCCCATGTCATTATCATTGTGTACAGTAAACAAGATCTTCTCATCCTCTATTTACAAAAGAACATTTGTCTAACTGATGTCTATAACTGTCAAATGCAAATGGATTTAATGCCTTGTGGAGTGGTATTATGTTTGCCTTTATTTTTATGGTAATTTTTGATATTGCAAAGTTTTTTTGTTTATGTAAGTTTTAGCATTTTTATTGTTGTTGTTTTGTCTTTCAGTCACTTTGAAAACATGAATATAATTTTCCATATCAGTGCATTATGGTCTTTTTTTTAGATGTCCAGTAAAAAAAAAAAATGAACAGCCGACATTCCACTGGTGGATCTGGGTTTAAAAACAGTGGTTTAGTGGTGAGCATTAACAGACCAACCAACCTCAAAGCACAATTTGACCTCTACGTTTCAGAACTGAAAACTGAAATGTTGAGGGGCAGTGCACCCCTCTCTCTCTCTCTCTCTCTCTCTCTCTCTCTCTCTCTCTCTCTCTCTCTCTCTCTCTCTCTCTCTCTCTCTCTCTCTCTCTCTCTCGTTTGCTTTATTGTTTATTTTGCCGATGGCTAAATGTTTCCTTTTATATAACATATTCATAAACATTCAAAAAACATATTGTTATATATGTTTTATATAACATATTCATGTTGCAAGACATATGTATAGGCTATGATGTATCACCAAACCTGCAAAAATAATATTTAAATGTTGAACAATTTATTGGTAAATTCACATTTACTGTATCTTCTAATATATCCAGATGATCCATTCACAATATGACAAATTTAATCTCCAGATTGATCTTGTCACCATGAATTCTGAACAGACTTAACAATGACTAGCCAATAACTGATTGGTAAAATAATTTAACGTTGTTAAATTACATACTGGATGTGCAAAAAATATATATATATATATTTAATTTACCAAGTGCCAATGAAATCTTTGATATACAAAAGGCGGATTCATCTGATCTAGTGTAAGGAAAATGATTTCCTTAGTAACAATATCTTTCCAAATATATTTGTTTAGAAACATGCCTAAGACTAAACAGGATAATTCTGAGGAGAAACCTAATTAAATAGTTAAAAGTCAGATGACTTGACTAAATGTCATAATCATTATGTTAATTTAACTAAGTGGCGTTAATAAGCAAATCCTTCTGGTTTATTATTTGTACAGTGCCGTGGTGAATTGCCTTCATTACTGTCCCTGCTGCATGTTTTATTTTTGGATGAAACACCCTATCTGGGTCATGGGAGATCACAGTCGACTATCACAGGCTTTTTTTTTTTATTTTTGCCTTTTATCCAAGCTTTCTCCTTGGTATCTGTTCCCTTATTCCCTTGCTCTGCAATAGAAATCCAAACTATGACAATACTACAGCCCAGCCTTTAGTCAAACACCCTTGTTTCTAAATGTCACTAGCTATTTTTCTTTTTTCAACAAAAAGAGACAGCAAAATTTCATCCAGTTTCTATCTTCTATTAATTAAACATGATTTGAAATATGTGCCAGAGCCCCAGCTGCTCTCACACACACACACACACACACACACACACACACATACTATATGGTTTACGAGGACATCATGTAACCACTGTGGTTTAGAGGGACACCCATTACCTAACAGTTTACAAATGAAACAGTCATGCTAATCAATGTTAAATGGTCTCTTTAAGATACATCTCACTTAAAAATGTTGTTCTAACAATAAAATCATGGAAAATAGCACACCTGATTTTATAAGGTTTACGAGGACACCATGCAACCACTGTGGTTTAGAGGGACACACATTTCCTAACAGTTTACAAATTAAACAGACATACTAAACAATGTTAAATGATCTCTTTAACATACATCTCACTTAAAAGTATTGCACTAACCATGTAATCATGGAACATAACACCTGGACCTAATTTATAAAACATATATACACATTAAGCAAAGAGGTCACATTATCTTTAGGAAGAGTAGGTTTTATTTTATTCTACTCTGCATTTTCACAGCTAGCTCATTTTGGCATGATTCAGAACTCAGTATGATGTCTCCATTAGTTCAGTTTATTCAGTTTATTTTTATATGAACATGCCAGTCACACTCGGACACATACAGATCTGAAAACGCTGTTAAAAATGTGATTGGTACTTCACCATAGAGAGGATATATGCTGATTATGACAAAGCAATGAGTTGTCATTAAAACACTGAAAGCAGAGAATTTTGACTGTACTCTAATTAATACATTTTGAATATAAATTTAAATATATTTTTAACTATAAAATTGTAATATAATTTTTCATTTAAGAATATTACGTATTTAACAGATTTTCTAAAACAGGCCACACAATCTATTTGTATACCCCTAAAAGAGCAACATACTGTTTCTATGAAACCCCCCAGATTACAATAACCTTTTTAGCATTCAAAAAGATGACTTGTATGATAAAGAGTTGAGTTATACTAGTCTGCTCCTACCAGACTCTTGCACTTGTATATTTTATATATATATATAAAACCCATATGATACCATTGTTCCTTGATTCCCTGCTAATTACAGCTAATACATTATTTTTTCTAAAAAATTGAGGGAACAAAATCTATTTCTCGTGCCACAAGTTGAATGTGTAAACAACCTGTGAGACCATAGCAACCAGAAATGATCAGAAATGTATAAGCCTATTTATTTTTTATTAAGAATGACATGAATGAATATGAATGATATGAAGAATAATGAATGATAAGTACAGACTCAAGAAATGATTGTGTTAATTATATTATGGCCTATTATGTTGTGCACAATGTTGCCTACAGACAGCATTCAAATGAGTTTGTTATTTCAATAAATAATAAAATATGGATCATAAAATAATATAAATATATTTATCCATCCCACCTCACAACCTTTTAAAACAATTAGCTGATCATGTCTATATTAATTAATTAATTAATTTATTTATTATTAATAAACCTAAATAAAATAAAATGTTCTACATTCCCGTAAAGTGAACTTGCAGGAAATCGCCTGTGCGCCATAAATAATCAAAGCTTTATTGGCATGACTGTCAGGGATTTACAGTATTCATTTTACGGGAATTTAACATATTTAATTGTATAAATATAGGCAACATTGCTCACAATATAATAGCCTATAATATATAAATATATCAATTTCTGATAATTCCAGGTTGCAATGGTCAGGCAGGTTGTTTACGCATTTAACTTGTGGCACAAGAAATCGATTTCGTTCCCTCAACATATAAAGTTGTGGCATTGAGAAAAATATGTCGTTCTCTGAACATAGTAACTCGTACAACATATGAATCTCGTGTGGTCACAACATAAGTTCTTACGAGTTTATATGTCGTGGACTTAAAACTATGCGAACCGAACATGCCCCATCCTGGTCACCCTAGTTTCTACTCTAGACTATAGCTTGTTTGTAAACTTACAACCTGTCAAATACCCACAGATTGTTAGAGTTAACTGTTATATATTTACCTATTTTCATACTAGATTTATTTCATTAGATACATTTATTAACTTAGCACAAAAACTGTATAGAACAATATTTAAATAGGGAATAAGCCGTTTAAATATAAGACAGATAGAATAAACTCATGTCCATATTTGTTTTTTATAAGTTAGGAAAGCAGTTTGATTCGACTGTCCCTTACTAAATTGTAACAGATAGAAGACAGATAGAATAAACGCATGTCCATATTTGTTTCTTGTAAGCTGTGCCCTTGTTCCGGACAAA